TTTACTCAGGTGTGATTCAGCAATGCTTTATGCTCGTCTGCGCTCTCTCATCGAGACATGGCCACCGAGTCCCCCTCCCCCATCGGCTTAGCATTGGAGGAGAGCGTACACGAACAGAGAGGGCGTGGCCCAGCTCAGCCGTGTAGCTTCCGCAACTATCTTAGAACCCTTTGTTCGGTGTACTAGCTGTCGCTTTTTGCTTTCTGAATCTGTTTTGCAACTGTCTTTCCCGCGGTTTCTTACTTTTTAAGTAACTATTTGCGAAATTGCAGTCATTCTGTTTGTGTTTTTTCTCTTTTTCAGGTATTTCTAGCCACAGGAAGGCATATCTCAGTGGAAATAGGGTGCTCAGCGGAATTCGATGAAACAACTTTGAATGAGTAAGTTACTGAAATCATGTTTGAAATAGTGAATGTGTCTGTGTTGATTGGTAGAGCTTACTGCAACGGTAGGAGGCTCTCTACAGCTGCAGCGCCATAGAGCAATCACCCTATATATATATAAAGCGTTTCGTCAGTTGTTTTTTTGTTTCTGTGTTTGTTTGTTTTTGAGTTGTCCGAAATTTCGGTCGACCTTGAGACGACTTCAGAGAGGTCCAGTCAAGCGACGTGATAGGTAAGGGCAAATGACAAATACAAAGCACACTTTGACCTAATGGGAAGCCACTCACAACTGGGCTGGTGCAACCCCCGAAACGTTTGTTCCGCCAGAAATATTTTCATAACTCTCGCTCCGGAGTTCAGCCTTAATGGGGATAAAAGGGAATACGGTTAGTAAAGGAAGCCCAGCCAGACTAAAACTGCGGCAGACAGCCATTTCCAAAATGCCGGTCGTACTCCAAGTGGGGCGGCTGCTTCGCATAAAACATCCAGTAAACCTCGGTTCGCGAGAGTGTTCAGCGAAAGCGCAAATAGCTCAGTGCATAAGAATGTAAAATATCTGCGAGAAAATATGTGTGGGGATCACGCTCAAAATCGCTTTGAGATCCACCACAGTGGCGGATCTTGCCTAAAACCGGGCAGACACTCACATTTTAAAAGTTTGTAGCTCGGTTCCAGAGCACTGCAAAGACCGGAAAAAACGTGCGTCAAGGTCGGAAAAGGTTCGCCGGTGAGGACTGTGGGGCGCAAACATTGTGGGCGGGCCTGCTTCTTCGATTTGGACGGATCAGACGAAAAAAATCTCTAAAAATAGTCAAACGAGCACTCCAGACACGGAAAAAGGATTAAGGTCAGCAGAGGTTGCCCGATTGAAAATGTGTATACTGTGTGGCGCAGCCACAGACAAAAGACTTCAAAACTCTCCCAAAGCACTCAAAACCTGAACAAAAAAACGGATTAAAGGTCAGTCAGAGGCTCGAGTTGAGGATGCTTCGTGGGCAAAACGTTGCTGGGCCGGACCCGCTTTCGAGTGGCCGGGCGCCAAGACAAAAAAGTTCTGTAAAACGGTTCCAAAGCACCTCCGAAGACCGGAATAAGAATATCCTGGTCAGCTAAGGGTGCCGATTGAGATGTGGTATACATGTTGCGGGCGGAGCCTGTTTCAAGGTGGGGCCAGACGAAGAATCTTTAAAATAGCTCAAGAGTACTTCAGACACCGGAAAAAAGTGGAGTACAGAACAAAAGGCGGATATCAGTAGTCTAGAAATATGTGAGAGAGCGCAGCGCGAGCGACTGTAAAATAGAGGAAAACACGAAAATAATCTTATCAGGTTAAAAAACAAGAAAAGGGCTGGAACTTGCGAAATGGAGTTATAGCGCTGGGAAACAGTTGTTGCTGGATTATGACCACCTTTTTTCGGAATTTTGATACGCTGATGAAAAAGCTTGCGAGAATCACCGAATTCCTTTCATTTCGCAGAAAAACCAGGCAGCCTGAACGCCAGACTGGCCGTGCAAGGCTCCGCCCTTTTCTTTCTTCTTCCCCATTTGGGCGCTTAGGCTGCTCGAGTTTTCTGAGATTGTTTATCCTGGTTGTTTTCTGTTTAAAAACCAGTCATAAACACTTTCAGGCGCTACCAGTAAGGAGGGGCATTCGGGTGCGATATGATGTTACTTGCTCGCTTCAACAATTCGTGAAGAACGGGTCTGGTGCGGCGTCAAACTCATCCCGCCTGACACCCCTTCGTCCACGCGAAATGGACTACATGTTATTCACTGATTGATTTCAGCTCACGATTTTCGTCTGCTACGTCGAAAGTGCTGAGGTGGATGTCGTTGCGGAAGTCCAGACGCCAAATGAGTCGTTCGATCATGACGGCTGCGTCGGCGTTTGAGCCCCGATAAACATCAGCATCGGTCATTCGGGATCTTTTGGCAGTTTCGGTAAGATTTTTATAAAAATTTGTGCTGTATCTGTGCTGTATTTGTGGTTGTCGGCGGTAGAACCGGTGACGAATAGGGTTAAACGTACAGCTGGGGGATAAGGGAAGTCGACGGCGTGACTGCCTTCTCTCGCCTTCTGCTTTGCTAATTTTTCGAAACCTTTCGTCTCCCCCACCCCTCCCACTGCGACTATTTTTGTTCACTTAATTATGGACATTCGTAAGCGTTTGCCACTAAAATAGTGTGTTGGACGCCGGAAGGCGTCGCTTAGTAGCAGGTCAAGTGGATTTCGTTCGAGGTGCGGAAACGAAGGAGTATGGGGTGGTTGAATTACTAGTGAAGAAGAAACGCCCCAGATGAGACTGCCCTTGAACTTGACCATCGTATGAGCTTGCGCTTATAAAATCCAGACCGTGCAACGAATAACCTGAATTGGCGAGAGCATAGGAAGACACCTGCAAGATCAGCATACTGTGAGTGGAGTGTAGTGGGCGGGGCTTACCTTCATGGGCGGAGCCAGACCTTCATGGCAGGCCACTGAATTCCTTGCCGCTCACTTTACGAGAAAGCGTGGAATCCTCTGCGTCTGCGGAAAGGGTATCTTGTGCAAGGAAGGAACTGTGGGCCAGGCACCGTCGTGTGTCTTTAACTCATTCCGGATCGCCGCATCATTTCGTCACTTTTCGAATCGGTAATCAGTAATTTTATCTGTTTCTTCCGCTCTCCTATGAGAGCTGTGTTCTGTGTAGACCTGACATTAGGGAGCGTGAAGACACCAGACAGACCATATGAAACAGCGCAGAGGGAAAGATGTGTGACACACCATGTGTGTCACGCGGTCCGGAACGTGTTCAAGCCGTTTGGGATGACACATCCGTCCATGCGAATCACATTTATTAATTATCTTTTCCAATATAAAGCCGACACAAAAATGTTTATCAGAGCTTATTACTGGAGATCTATGGCAACATTGTCTGCTTTAAGTGGATTAAGCAAAAAAGTGGAAAATAAAGGGGACGCTGCAGACAATGCTGCCTAGAATGTACACGTCAGTGAAATAAAGCCACTTAATATGGGTTGCTCTTCTAAACAATACAATACATGAGAATTGATTGCAGTAAAAAGTGTACGTTTGGTATCATAGGAAATGTTTTCTTTTTTCACTAAAGATTTAAATCGTAAATCGGAGCATTAGCGAGCTGTCAGTTTTTGAGCATTTGTCTGCGAAGGTTTTCTCTCTGTCCACAAATCCAACGTATCAGACTGCTGATCGGCGAGCTTTGCAGCTACACTTCCCTGCGTCTTTGCTGTCCTCTGAGGCGTCTTCATTTGAGAATATTTACCTCCGCCTCCTCCTGCCGCTCTCTTATTTTGAGATTTACGCCTTGACACATAGCGTCGGCATGTGAGAACAATTAGAACAATAAGAAAGATGTGGACAAGTCCGAGGATCCCCATGATGATTATGAAGATCGTCCTGAAACATCAAGGCCATAATTAGCTGTTGAAAAATTAATAGTGGAAAACATATTAATGGGATCACTGGAATGAGATGTGCACTGGTGTACGAGTTTGAAGACGCTGAGTTTTGCGAGTAAATAGCGACAGATATGGTATGAGGCAGTGGGCGGGGCATAGCCTTCGTTGTAGGGGTTACCGTCCTTATCACTTAATGTGCGTTATCCTTCTCTGCTCTCCTGGTTTTGTGGAACTATAGTTGGAGAAGAGGCGACAGGGAATCGGAGCACCTCAAAGGTTGGGCGCGTAGCGG